GAACTTAAAAAAAGACAGAAGTCATCTGAACATTTAGTTATAGACAGCAAGTGATTTATCAGGTTAATGAAATAAAATTATTATCAAGCCTTTTAACCAAAATGCTGTTAAAATGCCAGCACAAGTTGAAATCATTTACGTCAGATTCTTAAAGAAATAAAATGTGAGGCAAAGATTTTATGTCCAGAAAACCTAACTGCTGTGACTTGAATGTTTGTCCTCTCTAAAACTCACGCTGAAACTTAATTCCCATGTCACAGGGTTGAGAAATAGGACCTTATGAGGTGATTGGGTTGTGAGGGCTCTGCCCCATGAGTAGATTAATTCACTCACAGGTTAATGGATTAATAGGTGATCATGGGAACGGGCTGGTGACTTTGTAAGAACAGGAAGAGAGACAGGAGCCAGCATGTTCAGCCCCCTCCAAAGCAATTCCCTGCATTCCTTGGGACTCAGAAGAGTCCCCACCAATGAGAAGGCTCTCACCAGGTGTGCCCCCTCTACCTTGGTCTTTTCAGCCCCAGAACTATAAGAAATAAATTGGACTGGCAACACTGAACATGCAGTTGCTAATGTCACAAAAAGGGAGACAATCAGACATTTTAGGGCACGAAATAAAAAAAGAACCACTTACAAACTTTCTAAAGACATCACAGTTAAACCCAATCACATCTTTGCATCCAGCTGCTAGGAAGACAGAGGGACATATTGAACTGCTCCATAAATACGTATTCAGCAAAACCAAATGGAGACTCTAGTTTGAACTGCATATGTTTTTTTTTTTTTTAATTACAGATTAAAACAAACTTCAAGGACACATGAAATTTTTAAAAGTAGGCAAAACTAAACTGAATACTGAATCTAGGAATACGTTGGCTGGTAAATTTATAAAGAAATGCAAAGAAGTGATTACTAAAAGTTCAGGAATATGGCTGCTTTCAGGAGGAAAACGGTGGCTACTGGGAAGTCTTGCATGGAAAGGCCCCAGGAAACCTAGCAATGCTTCATTTTTTGACCTGAGTGGTGGTTACAAGGGTAGTTATCTTTTTTTTTTCCACTTTATTGTAGAGACGAGGTCTTGCCAAGTGGCCCAGGCTGATCTCAAACCCCTGGGCTCAGGCAGTCCTCTCGCCTCCACCTCCCAAAGTACTGGAATTACAGGCATGAGCCGCCACACCTGGGCCAAGAGTATTTGTCTTATAATAATTTATTAAGCCCTACATTTGTTTTGTGTGAATTTCCATATCTATGTTTTTATTTTACAAGAAAAAAGTTCTTAAAAGTTAATGACTTACCAGAATTAAATTGTAAGAGAAGTCGTTACAATTGAATGACATAGTAATCAAGGTGGTAGTTTTGTTGAAAAAGTTCAGCAAAATTTTTCTAGTTTATCAATAAAATAATCAGATGATTAATTTTTTTCTGGGTATTCTAGGTATTTCTAGGTTTTTGCACTAACAGTGACAGCTAAACTGTGTTCAGTTGCTAAAAAAAAAAAAACTGACAAAAATCCAAAACGGCAGTGCTTACAAATCTAGTTTATTCTTGGAAAAATCTACAATATAGTAATAGCATGAAAGTAAGGCGATGCATCACTGTCAAAGTTTGCCTCACAGCAAGGGAAGCTTTCTCTCTGGGCAGGCTGAGAAAGCGGCTTCCACATTATCTGTGACACAGTTGAGAGAGCAGAGAGATTCATCAGTAGTGCAGAATAGATCTAGACATAGTAACATATTTAAGAATTTAGTATTCAAAACTGTAGAATTTCAAGTTAGTAGAGAAAAGAAGCAGTATTCAACAACTAGTGCCAGCAGCTATCTCTTTTGGAATAAAAAACTTTTTGAAAAAGTAAAAGTATTTATCTTTTCCAAACCAGACACCAAAATATATCCAACGTGCTCTGAACATTTAACTATAAGGAGTTACAGGAAAACAATGACTTCAGAAAAAATATTTGCAGTTATTTTGCAGACATTAGTTAACACATTTAATACACATACAGTGTTGTTACAATTTAGTAATAATTGAGCAAAGTTTTCATTTAATAATTCAAAACAACTCAAAAAGAGGAAATGCACATGACTGGTAAAGTGTGTGAACAGATGGTACAACTTACTAGTAATCAAAGCAATGCAAATACGATGAAGAGTGTATCATTTTCATTGCTAGAAAAAGGCAGTGATCTTAAGGCACACTAGTGAATTCCGTACAATACATGTCCTCACAGAGTTTATAGAATGTGCAATCACTAACATTTTATTGTATGTATAGTTAATGAAAGGGTATTCGAGATGTATTTGTTAAATGTCAAAGAAGTGAGTCATGGAAGATTCTGCACAGCATGATTCTACTTTTAATCAAAGAAGTACAACACACCCAAATATGTGTCAGGAGCAAGGATTGAAAGGTCAATGATTATCTCTGAGTGATAGGTCACAGGTGATATATGATATGGGTGAAATGTCTGTCATATTTCTCTAAGTTTTCCACAACAATGCTATATTACTTTCATAAGGAGAAAAATAATGAAATTAGTAGTACTTATTTAGTTGTGAGCTAGCCATCAGCTTTCTGCTTGTTATAAATTATAAACCTTTTTGAATCCTAGGGCAGAAAATGGAGAAAGGATATACGATTTTAAAAACATTAACTTTTAAGTGGGTCTACAATTTCATTTTTCTACCTACCTTATAGTTATCGGAAAAGTCTTGGGTTCTAGCGATAAGGGTGTGGTTGTTTTGGCATTTGGCATCAAGTAAGACTTTTTCTTTGTGCACCTTAAAGACATTATCTTGAGGACTGGGACAAAATTGTGTTTGGATTTGCAAATCAAGATTCCATTTTATTTTTTTTATTTTTTATTTTTTCGAGTTGGAGTCTCACTCTGTTGCCCAGACTGGAGTGCAGTGGCCACTCCCGGCCACCGCAGCCTCGACCTGCTGGGCTCCAACGATCCTTCCGCTTCAGCCTTCCAAGTAGCCGGAATTACAGGCATGCGCTACCAC